GATGACAGAACAAGACGACAGTAAGGATGAGAGAAGACGACAGTAAAGATGACAGTAAGGACGACAGAACAAGACGACAGTAAGGACAACAGTAAAGACGACAGTAAGGATGATAGAACAAGACGACAGTAAGGATGAGAGAAGACGACAGTAAAGATGACAGTAAGGATAACAGAACAAGACGACAGTAAGGATGAGAGAAGACGACAGTAAAGACGACAGTAAGGATGACAGAACAAGACAACAGTAAGGATGACAGAACAAGACGACAGTATGGATGACAGAACAAGGCGACAGTAAGGATGACAGAACAAGACGACAGTAAGGATGACAGAACAATACGACAGTAAAGACGACAGAACAAGACGACAGTAAGGATGACAGAACAAGACGGCAGTAAGGACGACAGAACAAGACGGCAGTAAGGACAACAGACCAAGACAAGACGGCAGTAAGGACGACATTAGGACAACAGAATAAGATGACAGAACAAGACGGCAGTAAGGACGACAGAACAAGACGGCAGTAAGGACAACAGACCAAGACAAGACGGCAGTAAGGACGACATTAGGACAACAGAATAAGATGACAGAACAAAACGACAATAAGGACGACAGCAAAATCAACAGAGAAAAAGATGATACATGTCAACATATACTGATTTACCTGAACAAGTAGGCAATGACTACAAAGACAAATGTATAGTACAAAGCACAAAGCAGTCAACTTATTTTTGGCACAAATGGAACCTCATAATTTAAAAGATGTAAAACTGATCACTTACCTTCTGTGGAATCTGTGCCAGTGCGGAGGCGATCATATTGCTCGTCTCTTTGGGCATTTTGTCTATCATAGACCCCAGACTGAAGACCACAATCCCATCATCTCCTGAGCTCTGTACAAACTCCTCCATGTCCTACACATTTAAAAAAAATCATGAATTTGTACTGTGAAAGACTCATTATACTTCCGCAATGTCTGAAATCTGTTGCCACAGGTAGGCTACAATTTCACTAGAGGTAAAATAATGGCGCTAAAAGCAACTGGTTTACATGTGGGTTAACTGCTGAATCTTCGACACCTCAAAATAATTCATAATTTAATTCCGTTTTAACTCCGTTTTGAATTTAAGGTTGTAATCTGCATTGAATGTGACAAATACTTGAGTTACCGGTTGGAATCATTCTGACGAATCCTGAACTGAATCAACACCTGACTTACTGAACTGCAAGTTATCAATACTAGCCCCTTTCACACAATAATACCAGTAAATTGCCGTAAAATTACTGGAACAACTGTCTGTCTGTGTCTCTGTGTGTGTCTCTCTGTGTGTGTGTGTGTCTGTGTGTGTGTGTGTGTGTGTGTGAAAGGGGCTAAATTGTTTTCAGTGAAATAATGATAACTGGTCTTGGATCTATGAAGTTTGTTTTATTATTTATTTGTTTGTTTAAATTCAGATGTCTTACTAACAGCAAATGGAGCAGAATGTCAAAAAAAGACAGATGCACCTTGGGTAATGGTTTGGCAGGGGTGCAGTGAAGTCCTCCAACGTATTTGAAGTTGGGCAGAAATGGCCGTGGAAACTCAAAATCCCAGTAGGTTCTGATTAACCAGATATCAGCTTTACCCAACATCTCACAAAATGAAGTGGGCCGTCCTGGGGATATTCAATATAAGTCAAGCTCTATCAGCTGCAGTTGTAGCATATGTTTACCACTGAAAATAATTTTAATTTATTCCCCAAATAAAACAAAATATGTTTACAGTTAGGCACTTCCAATAGCAAACAGTCATGTATTTTTTAATTTAAAGGCTTGTATTTTTGCAATTATTCCTTAACATTCATTAATAATATTTTTTTTTGCAGCAGAACCTGTGTTGTAGGCCAGTGGATGATCAGCATACAACTAGGGAACTACATGAAGTGAGTAAATAATGACTGAATTTTCATTAGTGGGTGAACTAGCTCTGTCAACTCACCTAAATATTCAGTGTAATAGTTGTCAAATTTTCTCCAAGCAATAGTGGCAAGCAAATCTTGAGAAAGGTAGAAAAGCATATTTTTGGCTCGCTCCGTAAAGCTCATCTTGTCAGTGAGTTTACTCATGGCTCCAGGAACAAAAGATGGTGGAGCTGGTATCTGGCCACACACCCGCTCTGCAACGTTAGCAATGGATAACCGGAACGTGAAAACCAAGGGAACGTTCAGCTCTTCAGCCACAATATCGCTGCACGGGTAGATCGGATCTGACAGAACAACATCAAACTTTCCATTCCGCAATTTGTCCATCAACTCTGGTGATTTCAGAATGCCGTCACAGTATGATATAGACATATCCTGAAGTTTAGAAGTAAACTCTAAGACTTTCATTTGAATCTGCAGTAAGTTTAACTGGTCAGTCTCATACACTGAGAAATACAGAAATTCCTCAATGAAGTCTCGCATCTCCTGTTCATCCACGGCCACGTTAAAGGGCTGGTAGGAGAAGCGATCCGATTCTTTGGCTTTCATGAAGAGAGAGGCATCCGGAACCAGCACTGTTACATTGTGTCCCCTGTCAATCAACGTTTCCAACACAATCTTCAGATTGATCCAGTGACTGCCCTCAGTAAACCAAACTAAAACATTCCCACATTCTGCAGAGCCGAACACAGTGAGCAGAGAAAGAAACCAGACTACGAGTCTCATGACTGCCAGCAATGGAGTGAGTGTGTGAGATGAGATCAGTGTCCTGCCTCAACATATACAGTCAGGTATAATTATTAACAAAGTGCTAAGTCATGACTCATGGCGCTCATATATCAATAAAGTATTCAGATAAAAGGTAAAGTAGGTTCATACGTGAACCAACAAAAAAAAAGTGGCAAATATACGTAGCCTATAATCTTTCAGCGTATATTATTCACGGTAAGGAGAACTTAAAAGTTTCTCATTATAGTTTCTAAACAATTCGTACGACGGCCATATAAGCAACAGCCAATTTATGGTTTTCCTTTTTCTCCTTATATGGCGTTGCGCGTCCACCTTGAGCAGAGGCGGACAAAGAACACAACTCCATTACTTGAGTGAAAGTACAGATACTGCTGGTCAAATATTACTCCATTACAAGTAAAAGTTGTAAAGACAGATTTTTACTTAAGTAAAAGTACAGAAGTATTTGCTTTTAAAAGTATTTAAGTACCAAAAGTAAATTTCCTTTTTTATGTCAATGCACTGTTTTATTATTGTTGTATGTAATACAGTGCCTTGCGAAAGTATTCACACCCCTTCATTTTTTTTCATGTTTTTTGTTATGTTGCTGCCTTATGTTAAACGGCTTTAACGTAATTTTTTCCCACATCAATCTACACTCCATACACCATACTGACAAAGCAAAAACAGAATTGCCACAACTTCGTAAATTTATAAAAAAAATTAACACTGAAATAACTAAATATTGAGCGGAAGCACCTTTACAGCCTCAAGTCTTTTTGGGTATGATGCGACAAGCTTTGCACATCAGCATTTGGCAATTATCTGTCATTCTTCTCCTCACCTCTTCACCTCTCAAGCTTTGTCAGGTTGGATGGTCGCCGTGATTTTACCAAGTAAGACATGTCCCTGGATCAACATCTTTTGTTGATCCTGGATCAACATTACTGTCCAAAAATATAGACTAAACCCAATCCCTACCCCTAAACCTAACCTTACCCATAATTTATTCCTAGTATCAGTGTGAAATGATAGCTGATTAACAAGGGTGTAGAAGCACCTAACCCTGATCGTAAGCCTAAAACAGATATTTCCTGAAAAGTTATCCCTCAATTCTGATTGGTTAATTGGAATGTTGTTCCAGGATCAACAAGTATGCTGATCCTGGAACATGTTGTACTTGGTGAAATCACGGTCACCCAGGTTGGATGGGGGCAGATGCACATTTTCAGGTTTCTCCAGAAATATTTGATTGGGTTCAATCCCAGGCTGTGGCTGGGCCACTCAAGGACATTCACAGAGTTGTCTATAACCCACTCTTGCTGTGTGCTTATGGTCATTGTCCTGTTGGAAGGTGAACCTTCTGCCCAATCTGAGGTTCTGAATGCTCTGGACTGGGTTTTCATTAAGGCTATCTCAATATTTTGGTGCATTGAGCTTGTCTTCTACTCTGATGTGTCCCTCCGTCCCTGCCGATGAAAAACAGCTCCATAGCATGAGGCTGCTACCAGCACACTTTACTTTTGGGGTGGTACTCTTCAGGTGATGAGCAGTGCCTGGTTTCCTTCAAACATGATGCATGGAATTAAGGTTCTTTCCAAATCATACCCACTCAATTGAATTTGCCACAGGTTAACTTCACTCGAAGGGTAGTAACATCTACAAGCAATATGAATGCTCCTGAGCTAAATTTCAACTGTCTCAGATAAGGGTATGAATACTTATGCAATGGAAACATTTAAGTTTTTTATTTTTATTAAATTGGCAAATATGTTAAAAACCTGTTTTTTGCTCTACCATGATGGTGTATGGAGTGTAGATTGATGTGGAAAAAAAGTAATTTAAAGTAGTTTAACATAAGGCAGCAACACAAAGCGTGAAAAAAATGAATACTTATAAATACTTATAATGAATACTTTCGCAAGGCACTGTACTTGCAATACCTCTGAAGCAACTTACAATACATTACACCTACTGAATGCACTGACTAGCTTGCAGGATCTTTGGAATAACGAACTTTTTCGAAAGTAAAAAACCTATAGAAATGAAACGTATAGAAATGAAAGTGAGTTGACAAAAAAAAATATTATTTAACACCCCTCCCCACCCCCAGAAAAGCAGCATGGTAATGAATCTCACACAGCAACACAACACAACTGATGTATAACTCATATCCCAGCAACACACCTGTAGCTGTATAACTTTACAAAAGTAACACTGCTTTAACAAAAATGCAAAACAGCAAGATTTATTTTATCAAAAAAATAAATCTTTATCAAAAATGCTGGGAAAATCACTTCACGTAACCCTACAAGAGTGATTACTGATAGGCTGTCTAAAAAAAAGAAAAAAAAGTCACGTTTTAGAGAAATACTCAAGTAAATGTACTTAGTTACTGTCCGCCTCTGACCTTGAGTGAAAAATGTTCTGGTTTATCAGTCATTTGAACTGGCAGAGCAGAGGGAGAGTATAGTCTTTGGTACAGTTTCTGTAAGTAATCACTTATATTTGGTCCTCTTCCTCACGCAAATATATTTTATGGCTTCAGATTCTCTGTAGCCTATTTAAAGTCTTGACGCTTATGGACTATTTTGTGGTACATTTTATGATCGTTTTCTGGAGCTGACAGCATTAATATATAACTATTTGCTGTGGGGTGGGGCGGTGGACCTCTAACTATTATTGAAAAAAAAAGATGAATGATTAAAATGTCTGATAGTAGGCCTATTGTTTTACAATCTCATCTCATTAGCAGCTTCAAGTTTATGGTTGATGCATCTCATTTCATTCTAATTCATTCCAAATCAAACTAACATCCTAGATTATTTTTACATTACATGCACCTGTATTGGCCATTATTGTCTTTTGAAAGTTTTTTTTTTAAAGATGTTTGTCAGCTGACAACAGTAAAATCCATTGATCAAATCAGTCTTTTATCACTCACTGCCTCATTTTCATTCCTTGCCAAAAATTTAAAAATGGTGCTTTCCTGATTATATTTTTCACTATAATGTTACAGATGCTATGCATGTAGTGTGTAACTGACCTTCATGACCACAAGCATTTGAGCTTTACTTGGCCCACGCGGCTAGCTTGAGTCTAAAATCGTAATATCAGAATAAAAAACTCAAACTGAAAACTCTCTTCACATTCTAACTTTCGGTTAATTTGTTCATAATGATCAATAAATTAATTACAAAACAAGTGCATTTTTTTCTTTGCTTAGTTTCAATGTCTGAAAGAAAGATGTAGGCCTATTATTTATTTATTTATTTTGTATGATTCAACAGACTTAAAGCAGCCAGAGCAGACTAACAAGGCAGCATTTTCACAGATGAACCTTACAGTAAATTAAAATATTGGCATGTTTGTAAATGTACAATGTGAAATCTTTAGACATGAATACTCAGGATTAATAGTGCATCGACATGACCTCATACCTATTTTTTAGTGCATGTAAAAAAATGTACGCATCATACAGAATGAACAAAGCAAGGAGAAAATGTAATCATTCTTTTTTGCTTTTCCTCTTTGAACTAAAACAGCAACGCATTATGAAGAATTTGCACATTTTGAAGACGACATAGAGCACTAGAGTCAGGACAGTGATGAGAAAAGCGAACACATCCAGACAGTGGTACTGGTACCAGGTAAGGTTGTGGGCCTCGACACGCAGGTGTTTAGCGCCTTTATTGCGCATGACGAACTCAATCCAGAACACAGACTCATCCAAAGGCTTCACTGGTCTGTCATGATGAATCCTGGACAAACGCATAGCATTCTCTTTATACCTGAGGAGATGAAGAGAAAATGCTGTTATATTTCTGTGTATATAGTCCATATATCTAGAGTCCTGTTATGCACTGATACCACTGTACTGTAAATCAAATGATATGAGTGACTTACGAGGGATCATTAATCATGGCATTGAGTCCATCCACCAGGTCTTGTGGCTGCGTGGTTTTAATGTTATCCATGACAACAGCAGCACCTTTGGCCTTCATATGAACCAAATTATCAGCTTGATCACCAAACAAGGGGATCCCAACCATTGGAACGCCATGATAAATGGCCTCATATATGCCATTAGTGCCTCCATGAGTGATGAATGCTCTGGTTTTGGGGTGACCTGAATCAGGAGACAAACATGAGTAAATATAAAAGCAAAGAACACCATTGCAGTAACACACTTACAATGGAAATATACAGACAACAAACAGTGAAGCACATACTGAGATGTATAGCCACAAGTCTTTTTTATTTTATTTTAAGCAGATATTACTTTTTTAATAATCGTTTTATGTATTAAAAAAAAAAAAAAAAATAGTTTTAAAAAATTTTTTTAAGTAGTATAAA